TGGCCCAAAATCTCGCGGTTTTGAAGCACTAGTGATATTCTTCTTTGAGATTTGGTTTTCAACCCTCAATGCTAGCCGAATTACATCATCCAAAGTCCAATATTGTTGAAGTTGAACAACTTTGGAAATGTCATAGTCCAACCCTCCAAGATATCGAGCTATGGTTTGCTCGTCCTTTTCCTGAACATCACACTTCATCATTAATTGTTCGAACTCCATAGTATATTCTTCCACAGTCAAAGATTTTTGCTGCAAGTTATAAAATTTAACAAAATTATCTTGGTAGTAACGGTCAAGTAAGAACTTACGAGTGAGCTCCTGACGCATTTTCTCCCAAGTTCTAATTTTGCTGTGACCTTCTCTTTCTCGACTACGTTTGAGATTCTCCCACCAAGTGGATGCATGTTTCTTTAATTTGATGGCGACGAGCTTCACACGCTTGTCGTCAGGAATATCCTTGAGTTCAAACAGACGTTCCACAGTGTGCAACCAATAGATAAATTCATCGGGTTGAAAGCGACCTTCAAAATCTGGAATATCGATTTTGATACCAAGGTCAGTGGATTTGGGAGCAGCATTTTGTTGGGGACGTCGTCGACGACGAACTTTTTCTGTTGATGATGAGCTTTCATTATCCCTTAGGTGATGGAAGGGATTCTCGTCATTAGTATCTTCCTCTGACTCATGTGGTTCATCTTGCGGGTGTTGAGCTTGTTGTCCCTCAAAAGCTTCGAGTCTTTCTTGAAGCCTTTAAATTTGTTGACGTAGTTCTTCCATTTCTATGTCTTGAACAGCTCGTTGACGAGGAGGATTTTGTCTTCTAGGAGGCATGATGAGTTTAGGTTGGTAAGAGGCTTTTTGGAAAGTTAGTATTTGAAAGTGGGGGTAATTTGAAATTTATAAAATTATGGGGTCAATCTGTAAGGTCAAAATAAGTTGAGGGACTTGATGATGTGTCACTGACGTGGCTGATGACGTGTCAAGTGACGTGCACAGATGATGTGGCGAGTAGATGATGTGGCAGTGACTAGATGATTACGTGTCGATGACGTGGCTGATGGCGCGTCGATGATGTGGCAAATGAGAGGTTGAAGATGACCGGCGCGTGACTTTCACGTGATTTGCAGTGGTGCGAGTGGTCGGCGCGTGAGACAATGGCGGTGGCGCGTGGGTGCGCGTGCTACCTTGTTTGTTGATCGGATTTTCACCAGAATGCTCAGAATGGCGTGCAGACTCCAAATATATTGGCTCTGATACCAAATAGCGTAGGAGCTGATACCGAAACACCGATTTTGGTGAGATTTAAAATCCCACTACAATGAATTCGATTGCCAGGTTCACCACTTAGGTTGGCAAGACCTAAGATACAGAGATAAATTGAGAGAATCCACTCTCACGAAACTCACTCAACAGAGGAGAATTATAAACTGAAATTTTTGGATTCAGAACTT